CTATGACATTATGATGACGTCGAGCGTAGAATGAAGGAGGACATAGGATGTATTCAAATGTGATCAACTACTGGATGGAAAAGGTAGTTGTCATAACACAGACATTACGAAGAGGTGAACGATAAAGATTTGAGTAGACAAAGGTCCTAGATGAAATAAAGTGTTCCAGATTATCGATAGAGGTAACGGGAAAAACGCGAGGGAAGCCGTTAAATATGATGGCAATAAGCCCTCACCACAGCCGATACAACGTAGAACATTGGCCATTGTGATGGTTAATTATTGGACCGAGCGACCGAATACTAGGGAAGAACTAATGAGCTTACCGCTCAAGCATTTTGATAAAAACATTTAAACACCAATCGGGAGCAGACAAGGTGCCGATCTGTGATAATAAGTGAGGTTAACGAAAGATGGACTCCAAGATGAGCATTATGTTCCTTTTCATAGTAATGTAGTGCGGCTTGCGGTTAGCTTTAGTCAACATCGACAAATCAGACAAATTTGTGATATAATCGCCGTTTCTGAAGACAAATCTGGGGCCATCTTATCTAGCTCAGCAGCATGACTATCCCATTGGGCTCTTACTTGGTTGGACGATTAAAAACCTAGGACGTCGATTACCGGTTCCAAAGGAAACGAAACAGTCATGGCGTTTAGTTGTTCGGTTTTTCACCACTGAGGTTTAGTTATTGCTACAGGATCGCTTGCGTTTTACAGTGGGAGGTTCGAACCCCGTTATTGTCATCAAAATTCTGTTTGGAAACCTTACTGGTGCATGGCTGAATATGGCGTTTATCTAAAAAGAAATTTAAGCAATTTCGTACTGAAAATACCTGGGTTCGGGTAACCGGCTCCCACGACGGAGCAACAGATTCTCGAAACAGAGTGGGTTCCCACGTCTACGCCTTGTCACACAAACAAGCTCTTTAAAAACTTTACAGCATAAAATTACACATTAGAACGAGTTATTAAAAAACTGCCAGTTTGTTCAGGAAAAGGGGATCCAATTAAACGGCAATTTTTTGTTGCTTATTTGAATATTCCCTTCAAATACATGGAAGATGTGGTAATCGTAAGTACTTTTCTCATTGTCAAGTGACGAACAGTTTGAAAAAAGGACAAAATCTAGTTTTAGTGCTCCGCGCCCCCGCACCCTCATCCACAGGTCAGAGTTGTACGGACAAATTGGTTAATAAAGTCTGTTGGATTAGTGCTGGAAGCGACGGAAAAATTAAGTGGGATGAATATGACACAACATCCACATCGTTTTAATATCACAAGCTCATGATTTTGTGAATGCAAAACTAGACGCTCGTCGGACGCAAAAAACGATAATATTAGAATTGGAATAACACAAAGATTGTGTAGACGGATATTTAAAAGATTAGGGATTTGTAAACACCGGACCAATTCTAGATGAACTAAATTTCCGACAAATAGAAGGAATGTGGTTCAAAACGTCTTATGAATAAGAAACAAGAGTTTCGGAGCTCGTCAGATCGTTGAACAAGAGTCACCATATTTAATGTGTGGGTAAGGCTAACCGAGGTAGGAACTTACCATCTGGTGAGAAACCGGAGAAGTAGGTACACAAGTCTTGGGGTTCTTCAATCGCAATCGAAGTCACAAAATCACGCGCCTGAGTCGGGTGAGAAAAACACATATACGCAGAAATGAAAGTGAAAGAGAGGGAGTTAGATACGAACCAATTACTTAAAAAAGACAAAATGATAAAAAATAATGCGTTGTTCGGCTGGCCTTCTTCAAAAGTAAATTTGTCACAAGTTTCAAAAAAGACGTAAACACTCGACCGGAACACGAACCGTGTTTCAGTTACATCTTAACATATCACGACAACGAGTATTCGTTTATTTGAGATCTTCCATCGATAACAACCGTGATTTGATTATTATCACCATATGTGCCAACGGGATACGCATATGTATACGCTAATGTTGACCGGGTACCTGGGTCTCCAAAAACAGCAGTATATCACACACAGTAAAATGATTTTCCGATGACGGAGTACGCCGTACTGTCATTAGGAAGGCACAAATCGATTAGCCTCTGAAAGCCTTACTATATTCGGGGTTGGGTGTCTTGGTTTGTGGTGGAGCACCCTTTGATTTTCCTCACGAAATGTTCCTATAAGATCAAGCGTTTCAAAAAGCCTCTGCTAAGGAAGTTTGAATCACTGTTTTCCCGAGGAACAGATGTTTTTCCACCAAAGTGGGAAGACGAAAAGCCTGTATCCGGGCTATAATCGGGTTGGCGAACCACTGCTAGTTCACCTAGGTTTCAGCTTTTTACAACCATTAGCCATGCCCTTTCGTTTGCCGGTTTTGGTTGCTGTATTTTGGCCGCCAATTTAGATAAAAGAGAAAGATGAACATTGGAATGTTGAAAAAAATTCAAGCAGAAGATAGAAAAACTCATATAAACTAGTGTCAAGAGAATAATGGGTAGATGCACGAGCGCCACTATTTGCGACACCTAGCCATATCACTCAGTGTCTCTAGTCATCGGTGACCATGATCTCGAGGTTCCCAGTCAGGGAGCCTAAAGGGACTGATGTGACCCAGTCTCCTAGTTAGAGTTTTCATACCCTCATGCCAGGTCTTCATTTGACCATCATTAATCTTTTTCCAACCACGCTTCGCCCCGGCAAACATCGTTCGTCGTGGCAACCTATCTGGTGACATGCGTGGCCCATGTCCCAACAAACGTAATCTATGGAGGTGGACTACCTGCTAAAGTGGACGCCCGCGACTACCTAAAACTATACACCTAACCTCAGTATTGCTCGTCCGGTTACCCAACCAAACTCGTGCAGTGCGACATAGACAGCGGTGTTCGAACACCGACAATTTAGTTTCATCCTGTTCCGCAATGGCCAAGTCTCTGTACCGTAGAGCAGGACTGGCCGGACTGACGTAGCATATACTCGACCCTTCACAGGATCGAGTTCGCCTAGAGGAGTTCGCTAAAAGCCTTGATTCAAAACCAACAGAGACGTAGGAACCGTACTCATTCACACCTTGGTTGTGGCAGTAGTCACCGGCTCGATTGGACACCTTGGACGTTTGACCTTGTCCAAAGGGCGCATGGTTCAATTAACTGGATACCGGCCGCCAGTGGATTGCGGTTTTCGCACTCCGTCCCATTGCTTCTTGAATCAACCTTTGTGTAGCCGGAGGCTCCAGTTGTAAATTCCCTAAGAAAATTCACTGTCCTTGGTGTGGGCAGTTCAGTACATGATGAGGTCACGACAGTATGATTACTTTGTATTGTCAACAATCATCGTTGTGCTTGGTAGTAACTACAGAACGTCAATACGCCAGTAGGTTTGGCTAATTCCTGTTAGATCATGGGGCTGACTAATGACGAAGCGCATACTCGAAGGCTAGGTAATCGAAGTGAAACAAATGAAAAAGCGAGAGAACGTCATTACACGTCATACTTGAAAGAATGTCGGCAGAGGACCCAGAAATGTATTCAAAATTGTTCATTGATGCCCAACCTGAGGTTGACAGTTATTCCCGCACGAAACGGTTATGATCACGGGCTGTGTTAAGTGAATGTGTCAAATCGACTGACTCTGCTCTGGGGTTTCAATCGCGTTATACTGCTTTTGTTATTTAAGACTAATAGACATTGTCGGTGGAACATATTGTCTGATGGCTTACAAAGCGTATCGGACGGGTGTTTCGACTTTGTTGGGGATCTTCAACAGTGCGTATATGTTCGTGCCCCTGGCGGGATCTGGATAGCGAATTTGGAAAGAAAGTATTACCTCTGGGTCACAAGGCCGATAACCAACACTCTTTGGGGAATTGCTGGAATAGTTTGATCTGTAACATTTGGATGGGCTCCTGCGAGTGGGTTTAATCAAACGTCACATCTGATAGTGGAATTATCCTCATTGACTTTTAGACATTTATACATGTCCCTGCTATACCCTCGTCTCCACGACAATGTCTGAAGGAAAATTGATGAACGGAATATCTGTGGAGATCCAGTAAGATGGTCCCATAGGTAAATCTTGCCTGAATGTGCTGGAAACTTTTCTTATTGTCTTCTATTCTGGATGCACAGGTAAAACGAAGTTTGTACGAAAGCATGCCATAGATACTTAACAAGACAGAGAGAGAGTCTGATAAGGGGGGGGGCTAGTTTTGAAGCGAGGAAAGATCTACATAATGATGAATCAAAGGTGCAATCCATTTCAGAATAGGTGGACGAGAATAGATAGATCGTACAAAAAAACTGCTGACAGTGAATGCTTACTTACGTTTTGACTGGTGATTTTTTGCACGCATTCCTCATCTGGTTTACCCAGAACACGCATGATCATTTTGATCTGATCAATATAATTTTTCCCGGTGAATAGAGGCTGCCGAGTGCGAAGTTCGACCATAATGCATGCGGTGGACCAGATATCCACTGCACGCAAAAGTCAGAAACAGACGAGGTGAGATGCGAAATCATGCAGAGGAAGATTGTGGGGGGGGGTAGAGATCGTACAGAACGGAGTAGGGGAAAGTGGTAGGGAAACCGTTCA